AATCCCATCCCATCCCATCCCATCCCATCCCATCCCATCCCATTCCCATTCCCATTCCCATCCCATCCCATCCCATGGATCCCATGGATCCCATCCCATGGATCCCATGGATCCCATCCCATCCCATGGATCCCATCCCATGGATCCCATGGATCCCATGGATCCCATGGATCCCACGGATCCCATCCCATCCCATGGAACCCATCCCACGGATCCCATGGATCCCATCCCATCCCATGGATCCCATCCCATGGATCCCATGGATCCCATGAATCCCATGGATCCCACGGATCCCATCCCCAGGGCTCTGGGACTCACCCAGCAGGTCGGTGACGCGGTCGGTGACGGCGCGCGACGCTCGGATGAAGGCGTTGTCGCTCTCGTCGTATTTCATCTTCATCTCAAAGAACCCTGCAGTGGGACAGAGAGCTCTGAGCGCCCCCAGCTCAGCCCAGCCAGGCTTCCCTGCAGGATCCAACCTCTCCTCAGTCCCTCTGCCCAGCACCAGGCACCAGCTGCCTTTTCTCCCCGTTTCATTCCCCATTTTCCTGCCATGTTCCGATCCCTCCGCAGCCCTCCCTCCGCTAACACTCAGATTTAACCTCTGGGAAGGGCATTTATCCACTGGAAATTCAGGATGAGGCTCATTTGGAGCAGTGTTGCTCCAGCTGGTGGAGTCTCCATCCCTGCAGGTGGCCCTGGGGGTGACAAGGTGGGGACCAGGGACAGGTTGGACTCGATGGCCCTGGAGAACTTTTCCAACCTAAATTCTGGGATTGTGCTCAGGGAATTTTCACTAAAACAGCCTCAGATGATGCCAAAGCTCAGCTTTACACTACAGAGAGCCCCCAGGGGCTTTAAAGTCTTTCCCCAATTTGGAAGCTGTGTGAACCTCCCTCGATTTTCCAGGATTTTCCAGGATTTTCCTTGTTTTAAGCCCCAGCTCGGGAGGAGCGGAGCTGCCTCCCCTCCTGCTGCTGGCAGAACAAAGCAGAGGAGGGAGGAACAGGAAAGGCAGGAGCTGAGCTCCTCGGAGCAGGGTTTGTGCCCTGGAGCAGGGGAGCTCCTCCTCACAGCACTCCCAGACCACAGGGAAAGTGGGAATTTGGGATTTGCGGCGGGGCTGGAGGCACGGGTGGGAGCAGGGCTGGGAATGTGCTGCTCACTGTTGAAAACCACGTTGTTGTCCTTGAAATCTTTCCACTGCTGGTACCACTTGGAGTCTTTATGCAGCACCATGCCCATGGCCTCCCTAGAGAGGGCAGAAAACGGGGATAAAACGTGGATATTTGGGAAAAATTAACTGGTAACAAATACAGACAACACCCTGAGGAATATCCCTGGCATCCCTGAGGCTGAGACAGCACAGAAATGATGAGCTCAATTACAAGATAAATCATGGCCTCATAAATGATGAAATAAATTCCAGCCCCATAAATGATAGCCCCATAAATGATCCACCAGATAAATGAAGCACCAGAGAAATAAAAACCCAGATAAATAAAACATGAGATAAACAAAACTCCAGGAGATAAATAAAACACCAGACAAATAAAACCCCGCTAAAAGCCAACGGGAGCTCAGCTTTAGTCCTGCCCAGCCTCACCCAGCACGAGAAGTGAACACTGGAATCTCAGCTCAGGAGTTCACCTCTCAACATTAAATGTGAACCTCAGAATTCCCAGTCTCCAGTCTGACCACAGGAAGGTTCTGGATCATCCACTCCCGCTGGGAATGTGCTCCCCGAGCCAGCTGCTCCCACCCCACAGCTCCTGCATTTTAATCCCTGTTTTGAACTTTCCCATGGAATTACACATGGAAATATCCCCCCCCCAGAGGACCCCCACGTACTCATTGGCTTCAAACACCCGCTGCTCTTTAATCCTCTCTCCGGAATATTCCGTCCGCTTCCGGAGCCGCTCCGGGCGTCTGTAGGGACCCGTCTGTCCCAGAACGCTCTCATCTATTTCCTTCTTAACGCTTTCCACTCCCTGCAAGGCAAACAGCCCCCTCACAGTGGGTTTCCTCTTCTCCCAGAGCCTGAAAGCCCCTCCTGTGATGCTCCCAGGGACGGGGCAGCCACAGCTTGGACACAAAACATTGGATATTCCCTGCAAAAAGAGGGATTTAAGGAAGGCAAAACCCCACTGGAGAGAGGCATTTCCCACCCTGCTCCAGGCAGGGTGTGGCAGCAGCTCAGCCCTGCTGGGCTCATTCCCCAGGCCCTGGATGTCCCCCAGAGCCATTCCCCAGGCTCTGGATTCCCCCCAGAGCCATTCCCCAGGCTCTGGATTCCCCCCAGAGCCATTCCCCAGGCTCTGGATTCCCCCAGAGCCATTCCCCAGGCTCTGGATGTCCCCCAGAGCCATTCCCCAGGCTCTGGATGTCCCCCAGAGCCATTCCCCAGGCTCTGGATGTCCCCCAGAGCCATTCCCCAGGCTCTGGATGTCCCCCAGAGCCATTCCCCAGGCCCTGGATGTCCCCCAGAGCCATTCCCCAGGCTCTGGATGTCCCCCAGAGCCATTCCCCAGGCTCTGGATGCCCTGGGAGCGCAGGGATCAGCACCTGGGAGATGGCTTTGAAGGCTGCAGTCCTGCCCAGCTTCTCCCCTCCCCTGGTCACCGACTCTGCCGACTGTTTGGCCGTTTTGGCCGCTTCCTCCACGCCCTCCTTGATCTTCCTGCCCAGGTCGCTCCTGCTGACCTCGTCCAAGCTCTGCAAACAGGGAAAGGTCATTCCTTTCATTCCATTCCAGCTCCAGGCCTTGCTCCCTGCCCCTCCCCAGCTCTCTTGGAGCCCCTTCAGGGGGCTCTCAGCTCTCCCTGGATCCCTCCAGCAGCTCCACGTCCTTATTTCAGGCAGGTCTGCAGCTGGGGTCTCTCTCCTCTCCATCCCCAGATCCCCGAGGAATTCCAGGCTGGCTCTGCTCTGACACACTCAATCCATTATTTTATTAATGCTCCAGGGTCTGAATCACCTCTGGAACAGCAGCACCCGCCAATAATGACAATTCCAGCCCCCCAAAAGCCCAACTTCAGCAGAGCTGCCCTGGGGAAAGGCCCTTTTACCTCTTTAACCGTCCCTGTTATTTCTTCAAGTTTCTTTTTAATCACTTCTGAGGTCTTCACTGTTTCAGATTCAATGGTTTTCTGGGGGAAAAGAACATTAATCAAGAGGCAGGAACTACTCAAACCCAGCTTGGATGGAGCACAATCCATTAAAGCTGGAATTGAGGGCAGAAAAAGCAACGTTTCAGGGGCTCGTGGCCTGAGTCAGCAGCAGCAGCAGCAGCTCAGCTTTGCAAACGACGCTCAGAGCTCTCTGAACAATGCAAAAGAAACATCTGATGCTCAATTTAATGCCTCATTATTTGATCTGCTCAGAAATGCAGCCAAGTGTCTGCTGGAAAGACTTTCCACCGAAAAATAAAACCCCAAAACATTCCAGCAAATAAACACTGCGAGGCAGCCATTCAGCAGCGAGCGCCTCCAGCCAAGCAGAACGTCTCCCGAGCACTTCAGCCGTGAATTCCAATTTTCCCTGGGAGCAGGGAGAGCCCAGGGGCTGCCCAATAAACCAGGGAACACTCCCAGCACTCACATATTTCCTCCTCGCTTCCCGCAGCGCGTCCGACTCCTCCAGCTTCTTCGCCTCGTCTCGGAATTTTTTGATGCTTTCCTTCATCTCTTTGTTTTTGGCTAATTCCTGTTTGATGTTCTCCACAAAACCTGAGATGAATCCCTTCCTTCCTCCCGAGGAGGAGCATCTGGACTGGAGGAAACCATTCCATGTTGGAGAATCCCAAGGGATTGCAGCAAACAGGACCCAAAGTGCCCAGGGCAGGGGTGGATGGACCCAAGGCAAGCACTGGGTCACTTCTAGAACATGTGGGAAACGTGGAGCTGCTTGGAAAAGCAGCAGCTGATCCTGCACAGAGCCACATGTGCAAGGGATTTCACGGAATTCCAGGATGGATTGGGTTGAAATGACCTTAAATCCCACCCAGCTCCATCCCCTGCCACGGGCAGGGACACCTCCCACCGTCCCGGGGTGCTCCAAGCCCCATCCAGCCTCAGCTACCCCAAAATTCCTTGAGTTCCACTTAAAAAAGTGGAATTTTCCAGCCTGGAACTGGCTCTTCCCAGAGCCACATCCACATCCAGGACTCTGCTGGATGAAAGTGAAAACACTTTGGGGTGGAAATGGAATAAATGGAGGTGGGACCAACCTGGGGGGTGCCCAGGGCAGGGCTGATCCTGTCCAGGCTCCTGGGGAAGGCAGGGATGGGGTAACGGCGGGACAGGAGCCACAGGCCGCTGAGGAGACATTTCTGCAAGGAAAAGAGCACAGCAGCAGCTCAGGGACACGGGTTTGGGACAGCAGCGATGCACAAATCCATCCTGGAGCTGGAAGGTGAGAAGCACAGGGGTTTCTCTGGGGAAACTCTTCCAAACACAACTTTCTGTCAGCTCTGGAGGCTGCCAGGACAATCCCTGGATGGTTCTGCTGCCCCTGCCGAGGTCAGACGTGCCAATTCCTGCTCTGGAAGGGCTCAGTGCTGAGCTCAGGGCTCCCAGCAGGGGAATCCAAATCTGCATTCGCTCTGGAACCCCGGCAGGTCCCGAACGGAGCAGAAATCCCCGATATCTCCTCCAACTCTGGGCCCGGAGCTGCCCCGGGCGGGCCGTGAGGGAGGCGCTCCGGGCCCCGCTCCCAGAACCCGGCACAGCCGC